CGTTCCTTTCGTATATTTATTTGTCAAAATTTTGACGTGAGTCGAGTTATTTCCCATGCACTTACATTAATCCGAAGACAGCAGTGGTTGGTTGTTTTGATCATCGCATACACACTTATTCGAAAATATTTAATAACCTTATAGTATGGTGTTTATTAAAATTATCGGTTGAAACGACTGATAAAATATGTCGTCAAGTTCTGAAACGACAGAAAATAACAATCGAAATTATCATTTTAAACCAAATTCTGAAAAAGAAAAAAAAAAGGCTACACAAAACTTACGTTCATTTAAAATAAAATATAAGTACCTAGACGTATTATATAATTATAAAATAACTTATTTTCATGCCCGATGTGTACATTTTTCAGCTAAATTTTTCGCACACTGCAGTAGCTTAATTTGGGATAGGTCTTGGGGCCGGTAGAAATCGTTTAAAATGAAAGCTATGGTCTTATGGGCTAAGACTCTTTTTCAGGAGAGAGGGGTAGTGTTAAGACAACGAAAGTTCATATAAATTATAATATCGTCATACATTCAAACGAGATATTATATAATATAACATTTTATAATCGGTAAACACTGTATTATACATAATATAATTGCAAACAAATTATGATAACAGACCTAAACTTCTTGACTTCAGAACCAATTTTTTCAGCACACCCAGTGGATCTAATTGTATCATTATACATAGATTTTAATCAAAAAAAAGTTACACAACAGTGTCCTAATTTTTTTCAATTGTAAATATACCGTTCATATTGTGTTTAGTATGGTTTGATCTTCTTTCGTGTAGGGAACATGATGTGTTAAGGCGTGTCAGGTTATAGTTGTTATGTGTATTGTAAGTTAATAAAAAATCAATTGCAAGTGGTGGGGCTTTAACGTTTATCGTAAGCAAGGATATGAAAATGTTTGTATGAAAGCGGATGAATGAACAAGCGAATTAAAAAAAAAAAATTTTAAATGGTGGTGTACGCAAAATTTTCGGTATTACGATACGAACAACTATTATATTATGGCCGAGGACGAAACCGGAAAAATACGTCAAATTGAATTAATTTCGGTTATTGAAATTAATTTTCAAGTTGTTAAACAAACGAAGAATTACATTGACGGAGGCCAACGGGGCAGCTAATAATAGTTGTCATAATTATGGAAAAATAATGGTCCAATAGACGGGCGAATCTGGGTAACACCAGCTAGTATGGTTGACAAATTCAAAACCATAATATATTTTTTTTTTTTCATTTATTGAGCTTCATATTATGATATTTTGACCCGTCTATAATACAAATACTGCACTGATAAAAATTATAACACTTATTCTCCGTTTCAGTGCCAAACGTATTATACCGGACGATTTCAGTATAAATTTCAATGAAAATATGATTGATGTGTATGTGGGAAAAGAAAATAATATAATATGTTTAACCCTTAAAGTTTCATAATGTCGAATTATCGATTTTTTTAAAATCCTAAAGTTAACTTTTGATTGACCGAATCAAAACAAAATTCTAAAATATTACCCTTCTGAATCGAAAATAATTTTTTTTTTTAGTTTTGAACAACGTGGTAGTATTTTTTTTTATGCAAAATTAACTTTAAATATTTTGAACAAGTCCCGAAGTTGTAAAAAACCGATGTTACGGACAGCATGTGAACAATCATAATTAATGCCTCAAAGTAAAAATTATGAAACAAATATTATTTTTATTTGGGCCTGTAGTTTTAGGCTACATTTCCGTCCTGCCGATTCGACGTTAAATTTAACATAACGGTATTAGTTTTTAATTTTTGTCTATTATTTGTTTATTACGATACCATTTTTATTTTATTTTATCCAAAATGCGTGGTTTTTTTTTTACAGCTTCAGACGCTGTTCATGCAAATTGTGCATCACACCATTCCTATTACTATCTGTCTTTATCTAATGTTTATCTCCTCGTATTGTATCACTCGTAGTATTGTTAAGTTCTTTAGGAATTAATCGGACAATCATTGTTTAATTCTCCCAATGAGCCTATTTCCTTTTGATGGTTTCTTATTCAGATCTACTTTTGTGATCGTATTGTACACCGATATATGATCTAACTTAGCATTTTGGTTCGAATTCCCCGGTTTTGTTTAGTACTCCAAAGGCGTCACATATTTATTCTTGTGACGTTATCTTATATCTTTGAGTTCAATTGTTCATTTTCAGTCCGCATATTATAATCTTTCAAATTTTTATTTCTATTATTATCAATTTTCTATGATCATCTTCAATTGTTGGCCATGTATTACATGTAAACTTTATGATACATCTTGCTATTACTTTGTGTAGTCTCTCTTTTGATTTCTTACGTTTTTAAACTGTGTGTTTTAAATAAAATCAATATAGAATCTTTAATATCTTTCTTCAAAGATATTTTAAGTAGTTAGATTTTGAATGTAAAAACATAAGTTTAGAATTACCTATAACTCCGTTATGTACGGGCGACTTACATATGATATTTTAATAAAAAAAAAAAATGAATTTGTTTGATTGATTTTTAATTTACCTTAATGAAACGGATATAATTAAGAAAAAAAAACGGATGCTGCTGATGTTCCTGATAATGTAACATTTTTTTAGATGAAAAATAAGAACGATCGGATATTTATACATTTATGTTTTTTAATTTATATTGGTATGTATTATGAACAATTATATCATTGTTAATAGATTATAATTTTGAGTGAAATACGGCTGAACATATGTTCTGAAATTGTTGTGAAAATGTTCTGAAAAACGATTTTTCCCATTTATTTCTAAGTAGTTTATTGAAAATTAAAAAGACTATTACAAACACACAAACTACACCTGAAATGCTACAAAAAAAAAAAGGAAAGACATATTTTGATTGGATCAAGATTTCTGGTAGAAAAATTGTTTAAACTTTAAAAAAATATGAAAAAAAAACGACGTATTAAAATCTATATGCAATGCATATTATGCATTCCTAACTTTTTTCAAAATCTAAAAAGTCATATACTATGGAAGTTTAGTAATAGTAAATTATTATATTTTCCGTGCCCTGATTTAATGATATACACTCGCACGTACATTATATATTGAAAAACAAGTACTTTTATAGACTTTAAACATATTTGTATTACACAAAACCAACCTGTAGTACAGGTACTTTATTGCAGTAGGTATTTATGCTTTTTACGAACCGAAACGTTGATTAAAACGTATACATAATTAAAACTCGAAAATTTTTCGTATTTCTCTTGTATAACGAGAATATTATTATTACGAAAATTGTTATTGACGTCACTTTACGAAAGTTCATTAAATAGTTATTGTTAACTTCGGATAAAGTTTCTATCTAAAATTAACACATTAAGGAACTCTAAATTACTACTCGGATCAGTCGTTTTATATTCCTCAAAAACAATATGGTAGGTACGTTGTGTTTGCCTTTCGTTACACTTATAAATTACTACGGCACGTGATAAAAGTTGTTAAACAAACAGCGACGGCGGCGGTTAAAATATTGTAACGAACTCAAGTATTATATTATTCGTCTGCAGGGTCGCGTCAAAATTAAACCCGTCATAAATTTAAACCCGATCGTAACAAAATTAAAAACATCGTTGGGTAATCAAAATATTATGCAGGCTACGTCATAATATGTCATTAAAAAAACGAAACGCACACGCCCATTTATTGTCAGTGATGTAATTTTCTAATAGGTGCCTAAGTCTTAATATTTACAATAACTCATCGTTTAGACCTGTAAGAATGATATCGATAGACGTCGTTAAAAAAATTGCGAAAGAAAAAATAATAATTCCCAATGTAACGGTAAACCGTTGTTTTTAAGACGATTGTAAACATAATAATCGTACAATGAAGGGGATATTTGATATCGACAGAAATCGTTAACAAAAAAAAAAAAAAGCAAACCTATACACGTCGCCATATGGTCAATAACGTTGTTTTGACGAATCAGTAAAATGTATTGAATACAACTTGTATGTGTAGAAAAACAGGCTCATTATTGAAATTTTAAAAAACTGTAAAACAAATTCCACCAGAATTATATGTAATGATGAAAATATAAATATATGTATATTATACACAGCAGGAACAACACAATGCAATTGTCTCTATTAACAGGGAAAATTATACAATAATATTTGAAATTGGAAAAATTATTATAAACCCTTGAAATATTCAACATATATTGAAATATATGTTAATAGTCCAAAGACTAAATATACATATATTATCTTTCATACATAATATTTTGTGGGGTTCTTAACATGTGCTAGACATCACAAACCAGTGTATAAATGCTTGATCCATATCTGTCGTAGCAGACTCCTCTCCGGAAACCGTATTAGACATTATGGTGTATGTCAGTAATCACTGTATTTTACTAGTGTCATAAATCCGGATCAAAATTTTCAATTTAAGATGTCAAAATTCGAGTTTTGATCTTTTTACATTTTTTATATGTGATGGTATTTTCTGGGTTTAAGAGTGTATATTAGAAAAAAAAAATTAAATATTTATAAAATACTAACTTGCATGAAATATAGGTATATTATGTTTGTTATTATTTCGTATAAAAATAATAATAGTCCTAAAATAAAGAAATAATTAACGTTATAAAAAAATTACCAAAACAATCCGTAATCAAAGTATCAAAATCCAAGATCCGGATTCCAAACAAAGGTTCGAAATTATTTTTTTTCCATACACTATAATATATTTACTACGGAACGGCGGCCCAATATTAAATCACTATCATTATTATTTTTGTTAATATACACGTCGTGAAAATATTCCGCGTGCCCGTGGTAAATGCGGTCGACAGGGATAAGCGCTCGAGACTGCTGCGGAATGACGTCGAACGACTACGACTACGATCCCGAGGGCTTTAAAAATAATTATACGTCCCGCCGGTCACGTTGGCGAAGTAACTCCGTGGCGGCGGCGGGTTTTAATTAAAACCTTAACCCGAGTGTTTTACGATACGATACAGAAGAGCACTGGCTATGGCGGACAAGGGAATAGGAGAAGTGACGGAGAGAATTTCAACGACGTGTCGTCCAAAAAAACAACAGTTTTGAAACGATTTTTCAAACTGTGCCGCACACAAAGAAGAGCCACGTACATAACTAAAACTATATACGATTCTTCATTTTATTTTCTTTCATGGTTTGCCTATTTATATCACAGACACGAGATTAAAAGGGGCGGCTATTATATTTCCCACATCTTTCGAATATCCATCGTCGTTTCTTCGCGTCTATTTCACATGCCTTATCGTAATTTTATACACACTTTCCCATTTAATAATCCCGGACCTGCACTTTTTCTTTGATCTATAGAGGTATACACATATTATCTTTTCTACTCTTTTCCGATTTCCACCTTCACCACGGTTCTCATTCAATGCAATCGCCTTTTCTCATCCAGCCCACACCGTTTCAGTCGGCAGCGTTCTAATAATATCTACAAATATAGCGAAACATGTTTGAATCGTTTAATAGTCCACAATATGATCATGTGATTGGTTTCGGCTGTCAAACAACCGCAATATTTATGTACACAATTCGAAAAATTTATTGTTAGATTAAAAAAAACACCGTTCGTAAAATAAAGTTCGATATTTTACGCGGGTATATTTTTGTGGTGTTTTTCATTATACACGCGTGTCTTTCTAGATTAAATATCGTTTTAAACTTTTTTCACCGCCAAAATGACATTGGTTGGTACTATCGTTGAAGTACACCAATTTTATTTGTGCATGTTGATCTTTTCCGATCAACAAAAACGTATAATCCACCAGGAATTTATTATTAATATTGTGAACTGACATAATATTCTCGTCCACCTTTAGGTCTTAAAATTAATTTATAAACACCTTTCTCCTATAACAGTCACTGTCATGTGTGCGACTCATACTATATCAAAACTGTCAGGTCTTTTGTATCGTTATTATTAGTTTTTCTATCTGTCAATAAATTTTCAATCGGGAACCATCAACTTCAGAAAAGATTTACGGTGGAAAATTGTATCTAATTACTAGTTATATATAAAGAAGGTCATTTTTCGTATTTTCCTTGCAGTTTTCTTACAAACTGGAGGAAAACGGAAAAATTTACTTAATGGCGGTTCTGTTATTATTTCAAATATTGCATATTTAAATTATACGATAAGAAAGTTTAATTTGATAGGTGCTATTTTTGCCTGATTTTGATTTTATCGAAGCCCGTTATGCAGTAATGGTGGAAAAGCTCCGGATTTGAAGGAGTCCGATAATCGAAATCCGAAATTCGAAAATTTATCCTTTTAGTCATTTTTCACGTAAAACAAAAACTAATTTCTTAAAAACTTATTCTAATAAATTTTGAAACTCAACATTTCTTGAAATTTTCGTGTATCAGAGTGTAAATTCCGATTTTTCCGGTTATCTGGATTTATGTCACATCGCTATGAACTGGGCGGCAGTAGAAATTAATTCACAAAACTTAACTACGCGATACTCGTGGACCCAAGTACCGCCGCCGCGGGTTCGCTTGTAAATCAACGCGGACGCATATCCGCAGTGTCTAACAATAACGACCCGGAGAGTTAACGTTATTATCGGTCCCCCGGATATCGGATGCACCGGGATACCGAATACGGCGGTTATTTAGTATACTAATTGGTCGTAAAATACCACTATCGCCATAATTAAGATTGGGAATTTATTACGATTGTTGTTGTTGTTATTGTTGCATCGTAGATATTAATTTTCTTGGACGCTGTAAAATAGATCGCGTTTTTGAAAGAAATTTTCCGGCTCCGAATGTGATCAAGACCGACGATTTACATGACATAGTGCTTACATTGATTTTATCGTTTTCACACTGAATGTCTTGAAAATCCAATGAATCGGACAGACACCAAGGATGGTTCGGTGTAATGAATGCAATCCGGTGTCCGGCGGATGGTTCATGTTCACGACCAGTTGGCGACATTTACAGAACATTTCGATTTTTGATTAGTTACACAACCGCGAGTAGGTATATTATAATAATTATTTTAAAACAATGATAAATCATTGCGGAAACCGAGAAATTAAAAAAAAAAAACAAAAAAATAAAGATCTCCTTAAACACCATCTGTTTTCAATTACCATCCGTAAAAAGTCATCGCCACGAAAAAAACTTTTTGAAAACTTTTACAGCCCAGAAAAAAAATTTCCGAGATAAAAGCAAAAAAAAAAAAAAAAAAAAAAAAAAATGCGTTATTGTTAAACTAATAGTTGCCTGGCATCGCTCGAAATCTAAAACCAGAACTAACTCAAAGTATTATATACGAACGCTTTGTATTTTTTTCCTCTCTTTATTTCTAGAATATGAATATCAACTGCAGTTTATAACAGCAGCTGTTGCATTTAACTGTTGTATCAATATTAATAATAATGGCTTCAACTCATAGAAGCAATGACTAAATAAATAAATACAATTTCAATACATTTGTTTGGAAGACCGTAGCATCGTCGTTGAGCGATTCAAAATGAACAGTTAAAAAAGTTAAGAGTTATAAGTAAAAGTTCAAAATAAAATTACTATAACAGGGTTATCAACGAAATAAATAATTTATCAACATGCATCTAGACAGAGCAAATGTTCTAGAGAATCTAGGGTGTGTTTATGTTAAATGCACTGAATGAAATATATTGATAAGAGATTGGGGTGTGAGGGAAAATAACTCTAGTCCCGAGGACAGTCATACAAAATACTTTGTATTAATGTCATTTGATCTTTGTGAAGAACTCTATTTTTACTACGAGGTATACTAAATGCTCCATTTAGATGCATACGTATGTTTACGTATGCATACGTTTTATTGTGTACCTACCTATTAACCAAGTTTATTTTAAAAAAATACAAATATGAGAATCAGTGCAGATATATGAATACTGCTAGAAACCGAAATCTAAATCTAAAGTGAAAAACCTTATCCCGGTATTAGTAATCAAAAACCGGAACCAATAAAACAAAGAAAATGTAAATAATATCAAAAGCAATACCCCACATATATTCTTTCGGTTTGGCAAGCCCTGATAAAAAATACATTGAGAAAATGTATTTAAATTTTTTTTAAATTTCAAAAATAATACACGAATTGTTTTTATTATTCTATATTTTTAGCACGGAAAAGTACCCGATGATTATTTAATAATTGGCGACCTCTCTACTTTAAAATGGTACGGATCAATTTAGATCGATTAGGTACTTTGATCAACTATTACATTACATAGTTTACAAGCGCTAAAGCTTTTTTTATAAAGCATATAATTCGTCAGGCTCGATGTGGCATTGTGTTGATGGTCATTTCATTTCCATAGAAAATACTATTGTACTATTCTATTGAAATATTATTGTATTCCATATTTTTATATTAAAAAAAAAAACCGTTTGTATCTATGTGTAGTACGATTGTACTATACAAGTGTGTGTATGTGTGTATGAGATCATCCTTAAGTACATGTATATATTGTTTTTAATTTTAATTTTGAGGCGCTTAAATTGTAAGGTGGACCACTGTGTGTCTGATGTATGATATTAACAAGTTTCAAGTCTCTGCTTGTATTTATAACCAAATTACAGCAATAAAAAACTCCTAAAAATTAAAATTCCTTAAAAGCTCAAAAATGGCTCAAAAGTTTTAGCAATGATACAGTAAGAAAGTAAATCAAAAAGGCAATAAAAGTGTGTCTTGTGAATTTTCGATTAAATCATTTTTTGTGATAGAAGACATCTTCCGTGTTTTTATAAAATAATTAAATCGTGAATTTGTACGTTTTCCTACAATTTTTTACACTCAAGTGTTGCTATTTAAAAAAATGACGTCAAAAATCAAACAACTTGAGCTTTCGGAAAAGTTGCGACATGTAAAATTCGGAACGAGTTTACTACGAAATAACGTGTCAACGGATTAGAAAAAAAAAAAGAAAAGAAATAAACATTTTAGTTAAACCAATAGCTCTCTTTCTACGCATGGGTTTAAAAAGAAAACAAAAACTGTAAAAGACGGAAAATCGTAGGAGATTTTACGATTGGACAGCGTTTCAGGCAGTCGAGAATACTATCTCGAGCGTCGTATAATGTATTGGTTAGTCGACCATTATCAGACCGAAATCTAATCTAAACAAGTGTATAAGCGATGATATATGCAGAGATTCAGACGACGATGGATTAAAAAATATTTAACTCATACCGCAAATATACCAGTGGCTCCATAATGTGTCCATCAAAACATCTGCGTACCGATTTGAATCAAACATTTAAACTTTAAACCGCCGCGATTTGGTACTATAGTAAAGTTGTACACTTGTATAAATGCCGTCTGTGGTAACAGATGCCTTGTAATGGCCTAATGGGATTCTATTTGTGGGTCACCGTAACACTTCGTTGCCACGTGCTTTTTTTTCATATATATATATATAGGTTAAAACAAAAATAAGAGCAGGTACAAAATACCAAAATTTTTACTGAAATTTGACGCTCTTCAATAAACTTATGTCGAATAATACTGAAAATATCTTAGTGAATGTTTTATTTTGAAAATATAAAAAGATTGAAAAGAAAATCTGATACTGTTGACTGATATACCACCATTGCAAGCAAAGAATTGAAAAGGCAAACCATAGAGAATAATTATTATTTAATTGTTATATTTCTAAATGTCGATAGAATATCGTAGCTAACGAAAAACGAAACTGAGCTCAATTTTAGTAAAACATATTTTGAAATACCGCGATTTTTACGTTTGTCATAAACGATTAAAATTTAAATGATTATATATAAAAAAAATGTATAACTACTATTCTAAATTTATTATTAATCTCGTGTAGAATTTCAATTCCTTTTTTTGGGGGGTGCCCAAACATTGTTATTCATATTAAACCAAATAAAAACTAAAAACTCGAACATTATTAATGATTTTAAATAACCTAAAAATAACTAAATTGTTTTGAAAATTTTACTACGTATAGAAAGTACATAGTGTTAAGTTATAAGTCGGAAAAATAAAGGTGGAGAATTTCAAGTCCGAAAATGCTGTCATATTCTACAAATCACATAACATGTCCCTAAAAAATGAATCAGAAAAAAAATCGGTTATAATTAAATCTTGATTACTAAAATTCTTAAAATATTCGTGAACCTTGCTTTAAAAATGTTCAAAATTCTAAAATATTACCTAAAAATTAAAGAAATACTTATAATATACAAAAAAAAATCGGCACATAAAACTGTTTGGTTGTTATTTTTGAATCGCATTTCGGTAAAAACAAGCTGTTATTTTTTTATCCACTAATAAATATAATGCAAATGCTTATAAATATTTGCCACAATTATTATTATTCAGAAAAAATTCATATTAGGTGTAATCGTGACTTTAAAAAAAGAAAAAAATACAACTAAAACTAAACATAATAGTATCTACACAGTACGCGCGGAGACACGTAGACATTGGGTCATGTATAAATTAAATTATTCGAACGTAAAATTAATGAAGCGCTGACTACTTTAAATGGGATTAAACGCGTACATACCTACCCAGTATAATTTATGTGACCTGCAGACGTTTGCTAAGTACCGGTTAAAAATCATAAACCTCCGTCCGAGTGCATTGAACTCGTATTCAAAATATTTTCGTAATTACCATCACCGTTAGTTCGATCGTATATCATAATATAATTGGTCATGCTAAAATTTCGTGCATTTTGCTATTAAAAAATATTTGTACATTTAATTTGCCTATGTGAAATGCAGAAAATCAAACGTGAAATACGAAATCATTTTTTTCCTCGTGATATTTTATTACATAGGTTTTTTGGTACTACTTTGACCGTTTAGCATATTTTCGAAACGCCGTTGTAATCAATTCGACTAACGATTTGAAATTTTGCGAACACATTATTTAGTGTTTTTCTAATAAACGGAAACAACACAATACATTCACCAGTTCTAAATATATAAAAATAAATAAATATTTTAATGAAATATTTCCCAAACTAATAGGTATAATTAAATGCCCTATATGGATATCAAGGCTAAATATGACACTGTAGACAGAGAGAAACTGAGGAACGTAACGTCTAAGATGGCAGTACTAAGAAATCCTATTGAAATGATCAAAGCGCGCCTACAAGATTCTAAATTCAAGGTACGTTTTGGCGACGTGATTACTCAGATGAGTTCTCAGTATTGACAAGTCTCAGACAAAGGGGTACACCAACACACCGTCACCGGCATTCTCGAACATCACATTAAAAACAATAGTGAAAAAAGTACTCATTAATACTAGAGAATTATTAAAAATCAAAAATAACCATCAACTAATAATTATAGTGAATGCTGATAATGTTGTAACAAATTAAGAAAAAGAGGAAAAGTCTAAAGTAATCTTCAATGGAACGATAAGGATAACGAAAGAAAACTGCCATTAATCGGTAAATTAAACGCACAGAACATAGATGATAGATTTCGAAAGATAAACTTTTGAAAGAGTGGACCATAATAAGCATCGATACGCTAGTGAATGAAAACTCATTTAGTCATGAAGAGATAAAATGTTGATTATTACAAACAGATGCAAATTCAATGAACTATTAATATGTTCAAATCAAAATTATATTCAAGAGGGCCGAAAATCTATTGGTACTTTATGAAGTTCTATTTAGTCCCATAGCACTATAAATACACTACTGATACTCAACCACATAAAATGAACGAGAAAAAATAAAGCGTTTTCGAGAGGGAAATTTTTAGGAAAATATTTGGACGAAAAAAAATGAAGAGGTTGAATTTGAAAAAGACGTACGTTAAGATTTTAATGCCCCCGTCTCAAAAAAAAAAAAAAAATGCCGCTAAATGTCTAAGCATTTTTTTTCTGTAGAACAATTTTATCTGCTGAATATATACCGAATAAAAATTACGTGAAACAATCACGAAATTTAAATGTCTAATAATAGATTAAAATTGGCTTAAACGTTTTAAAAACTGTATAACGTTTAGAAAATGAAAAAATAAGTTTTTGTCAAAATCCAAGCTAAGGATTATGAACAATTGAAAATACGTTGCACCGGTAACATCCAGTCAAATTTTTTAATCATATTTTTCTAGTTTCCTAAAATCGTTTTTATCCGTGCAGATACCAAAGGCGAACTTCTATGCATGATAACTGGTAACTTATCAGGTATTTTACCTGTACAGTGGTTGCAGGTGGTTCTTTAACTGCTATATTTATGTGTTTTCTTTTAATATAAACTGGTATTGTTGTTTTTAAAATGTCGTATTTACCATATTATTTAAATATATTTATTTCCTTGTTTTCTTTGTGTTTAGTTAAAGAAATTCACTCAAGTTAATATTAGTATAGCAATCACGGTGAGATGTCAATAGTCTCCCGGGAAATTATAATAACCATTAATTGTGAACCTTTAAAAGAAATTTGATTGACATTTGTGTAATATTCTTAGTCAGCGTCTACGGCCTACAGTCGGTAATCTCATAAGAATGTTTTGAGCAATAACAAATGTTAAAAATCCACTGATATAAGTGGATAATATTGTTCACCGTAATTACCGGACGATACATAAGACTGTTCATACGTTAGCGATTTGTGCATGAATTGTAAAGATTTATTAAAACTTCCATTCTCGTTTCGCGTTCAAACGTTTGTTTTCAAAGGGGGAGACTGAATTTACAGACAATTGTACGAAAATCACCGTAAAAATAAAAGACGAACCATTGAACCATGTCGAACTGTCGTTTTGCCGCACACACACACATAATGTTTATTATTGTACTAATTGTGAAAAGTTCGGCAGAGAATGTTTCGTCGAAATAAAACATTGTGAACCCTCCCCAATCCCTCCCCCCCCCCGATGGGATTCTTATGCGATGACGCAGCATTGTTATATTTACGCTATTCGCATGAATACAAACGGCACGACGGATATAGTAGACCGTCGAACAACCGCGCGGTACGTTCAACCGGAATTGTCTAAAAACACGTAATTTTCGGTATTCGAGCAATCGTCGACTTTCAAAAGTTTTAACAATCATTTTATTACTGTGTGTACAGTTATTTATAGTGCGCTAACTTTGTACAATATAATAATATAATTATATTATTATATTTTTTTTTATGTATATTATACAATCATTTGTACACATTATATTATTTATTTATTTGTTTATTTATTTATTTATTTATTTATTTTTCTACATATTATAATGGCATGTTAAAAAGACACAATGCATGTGTTTATATTTTTCACCGACTAAACATAAAAACGCCTATTTTTTTTTTCTCTCATGAAAATAATATATTCTAGTAAAACCGTTTATTGTAATCTGCGATACGAGACAACGGAATTGTTTCCCATTTATTTTAATATTCCTCGTACGGGTAAAACCGTATAATTGGTGTATATATATATGGGTACGAAAAAACAAACGTTACGTTGAATTACGAAATCATTAAGTTTGAAAAAAAAAAAAAAAAACACACACATTTTTGTTCAAATGTACCCAAATAATAATACACCATAATGTTATTGTTGTTTTTTGTTTTTTTTTTTGTTTTTATGAAAATGAAAATATTATTGATCAGTTTTTGTTAATTATATATACGAAAATAATATTATTATCTATATATTATTATGGGATCCAGGCGGGTATCCTGCTCTCAGCTCAGACGTTGGCGGCTCAGGGGACTCAGGCGCGTCGGGCACGACTCAGACGTGCGTTGACAGAAGCTGCGAATTCAGACACAGTTCCAATCATCAAAACGGTACAGAATAATAATAAAAAAAAAAAAAATTAATTAATTAATTTTTTAAAAATCGAACACACCAACACTCTTTTACACTACGTACTCAGTATCACATAAACATACAAAAATACACACACTCACACACATACACATTTTTTTTTTACTCTTTTTCTTCTCAACATATTATTTTTATTCTTATACTATTATTGTTCTCACCGATATTGATCATAACACTTAAAAAAAAAAAATAATAATAATAATAAAAATAATAAAATAAAAATAGCACAATTTATTATTTTTGTTCACTTTCGGCTTTCGGACGTTTGAAAATCGAATTATTATAAACGCACGAGCTTTGAATGCAGCACGACGCATCCATCCCGAACCCCGTATATATTATAGTAGAACGTATTTATAATATATTATCTATAAATATATATATTTATTTTTTTTCAATGATATTTTTTTGAGTGAAACAGATAAACGACGCTTCAGCGAACATGAGTCATTGCCTGTCATTTTTATTGGTCCCTGATTATATTTCCCCTCGTTTTATTTTTTTCGCAATGACGTTCAAATTGAGAATAAAACGCATTCTGTTATGGTAAAAAATCAAAAAAAAAAAACATGATAAATCACTAACCATTATATATCTCGCGATCTTTTCTCCGCCCCCCAAAAAAAAAGCAAAATGCTAAAATACCGAAACATTCGTCTTTTTATAAATCTCTTAATTTATGACAAACTTCCCGCAGTGCCTTCGATGTGCAGTTATTATTACATACGGTTAGAATTCATATTATTACAACATTATGATAATAAAAGTAATACGCTATTTAGGTATTGTAATATCAAATCTCACATTTATCATTTTTTGATATTCTAAAAAAATATTTCAAAGTAAGATAAAATATTGTTATCTTATGAATAGACTGGAATTACTGCGATTGTTTTCATACAATCTTAGTTAACAATACGATACCATTATGGTCAAATTCATAGATATTTTTACTATCTAACCGATATAACTAGGTTCTGGTGTTATCATTTCGTTCTTGTGGTTCGACCGCTGTCTCTTATCATTGATTTCCTGTTATAAAATAAATGAGGGCTTGCGATGTTGCATATTTAACGGGAAATAAGTATACCAGTGTCTGATATCATTGAAAGATTTTTTTCTACGAAAAACCAAGGATTAGACTTTATATTATTAATGTACAACATGCATTATAATGTTATATTTAATTAAATACAAAATTTTCAGTTTTTGTATTAAAACGGTAAATTTTACAAATGTAAAATAGCCACATTCACGGGTATATTAATACAGTTATTGCAGCTGGGAAGTTACTTTTTTAGGAAATTTTTCAATTTTAAAATCGGTGAAAATATATTTCGCCCCCTCCTTCCCATAAGAAGAGTCTAGGTACGCTACTGTAATCTTCCTTTTTACCGGAAATTTTGCTCGGATAATTAACTTCAGCGTCTTTTCTAAAAGATAATGTCGAATAGTTGATGCTTCAAATAGGTTTTTTTTTTTTTTTTAATTTTATTGGAGTTTTCTTAATAAATCTTATTTTACATTTATCTGATTTATCTCATTTAAGATAAGAAACATGAGAATATAAATATATGTTTTCAAATCATTCGCTTAGATAAAACACAACGCGGCGATCGCAATGCGTTATAATAACATTGTAATGTAGTAAGCGTCATTAGTAATTTAAATCACCAAACAGTTCCGGGGTATTTGTTTTAGAAGTTCTGTGCGATTCTACGGGCTCTTAATAATTACAACTATTTCCGTTACGAATTATACGCAATTTGTCGTCGTTCGATTTCGCTGCCTATATACTCGAAGAGCAGAGTAGCGCAATCGATTCGCTATCCGATAGTCATTGCCGGGCGCACCGTTGTCGTTTAAACGAATTTTAATTATTACCACAACACGGCCAATATAAATAATAAACACGTATTAATACGCGTGTACACGTCATTGCCCGCAGAATATATACTATTATTATTATTATTATTATTATTATTATGCACGGCGGTAAAATATAATCCACGGCCGCAAAATCATCCATCACCGGGTGCGCCGGACCCTTGTCGTTTTAATTCCATGAATATTTTATGCGGTTGAAAAAAAAAAAATGTATAATAATAACGATATGTGTTTTTTCGAACGCGTGTCTCTCTATACGCGCGTATTAATATATTTATATACGCGGTTCCCTCTCTTCCCTCCTATACGAAAAAATTATAACAAGTTTATTCCACTTTATTGGCGGACAGTGACGTACAGCACAATACTCGGACGGGGCGGTTTTGATCC